TCACAGCTCAGTGAGGCTGTCGTAAGAAGGACAGGCACCCCCTGCACCCACGGGGCTTTGCGCATGTGGGGCCAACAGCACCCTGCGCTCCCCAGCGTGGTGGCCGGGATCTCAGGGAGCCTGGCCAGCAGGGGCAAGCTGAGGGGCAGAAGGTGACCCCAGACAGCTCCATTCCCACTGGAGCGCAGGTGGCCCTGCTGAGGTGCCAGGGTGAGGACAACAGGAGGACACTGCCCCTGAGGCTGAAGGACCTGCAGGCTGTGTGGGCTGAGAAGAGGACATTCTGGGGGGACACAGCTGAAGCAAAGGCCCAGAGGGGACCTGGCAGCGTGCTCTGGTGGGGGTGGGACGAGGGCATGGGGTCAGGTTGACAGCCCTGGGCTGAATGGCCAGCTGGCGGCCGTCTTCCAGCACCCACCCTCTACCCTACGCCAGAGGACTTTCCTCCAGAGCTGTCACTAGGGTCCGTGAGTGGCCGCAGGTCAGCCACTGGTGCTGGTGCCTGGAGGCCAGCCGGATCTGGCACCAACAGCTGGATCCTGGGTGTCATCACCTGCCCTGGCCCAGCAGCCGGCAGAGAGGCATGGGGCGGGCTCCCACAGCGCCCCCAACGCAGCCAGCTCGGCAGCACCCACCCCTGCAGCCCTCGCCTCCTAGATGGTGGAGAAGGCGTCTCTGTTTTCTTAAACCGCCTGCTTTGTGGTAGTTTGTCATGGCGGCCCCCAGACACCAACTCAGTGTCAAAAAAGAACACAGAGCTGCCCCGGGGGGACGGAGGGCCCCGGAGAGAAGAGAGGGAGGCCAAGCAGAGGGGCAGGATGGGAGAGGCAGGGGGGAGGGGCGGGGGAGGAGGAGGAGGGCAAGTCCTGGAGGCTAAGTTCAGGCCAACGGTAGAGGGTCAGGGTTAGCCCCCAGCTCTCAAAATAGTCTCATTTATTTTTTTTAAATAACAGCTTTTGGCGGTGGGAGCCGGTATCAGGAATTGAACTCAGGGACACTTGACCCCTGAGCCATGTCCCCAGCCCTGTTTTGTATTTTATTTAGAGACAGGGTCTCACTGAGTTGTTTAGCACCTCCCTGTTGCTGAGGCTGGCTTTGAACTCGAGATCCTCCTACCTCAGCCTCCGGAGCTGCTGGGATTACAGGTGTGCGCCACCCTGCCCAGCAATAGCTTTTTAATAACATAATACTCTGTTAAAGGACACGATTCAGTGAGTTTTTTGTACATGAACTATCTCCACCATCTATTTTTAGAAAATTTTCATCACCCGCAAAAGAAATCCTATACCTGTGCTCTAAACTTGCCAGGAGGCCACCGAGGTCAGAGGAAGGGGCAGTGTGGCCTTTGACTGCAGCAGGCCCCTGCCTGTGGGGCTGGGCTGGTCAAAGGCGGGCCTGGGAAGAGGGGAGCCACCAGCTAGGCGGCTGCTCTGACTGCAGGAGGGAGGCCAAGTCGCTCAACGCAGGGGGCAGGGAGGCGCAAAGCCCGCATGGAGCTGGGTTAAGGCAAAGCCGGGGCCTCCCTGGCAGACAGGTGCAAGAGAAGGCAGGGAGATCTGAGGTGCTATGGAGACTCTAAGACGCACCCAGGAGGGCTGAGCTGCCCCAGGAGCAGGGAGGACCGGGAAGCCGCCGGCAAGCTGGGAGAGCAGAAGCCCTCGGTGAGCCGGGTGTCAGAGACGGTCACTCACCACTAGCCAGTGTTGATAGGAGAGGCCAAGGCCAGACCTGGACCCTCAGGAAGCTTTGTGACAGGAAGAGGCCGGACAACTCCCCCAAGAGTGAGTGAGTGTAGAAAAGAGGCCCAGTCTGCACCCTGGGCCACTTAGGAACAGCACAGGAGACCCCAGAACAGCCAGGGAGCTGCCCAGGGTCAAGGTCAGGACTTCAGAAGAGTTGCATCCTGGGTGATTTTGTTCCCCCTCAATGAGCAGCATTTAGTACAATAAGAACGTATCGCTTCTGTGAATGTCTGTGACCAAAGGATCTGACGGAACAAGTTCAAAGGTGGAGAAGTTTATTTGGGGCTCATGGTTTCAGAAGTCTCGGTCCACAGATGGCCCGTTCTAGTGCACTGGGCCTGAGGTCAGGCAGAACATCATGGTGGGAGCACGTGACAGAGGAGAGCAGCTCAGACAGGGCACCAGAAGCACAGAGACTGAACTCCGCTCACCAGGGACAAAACACAAACCCCCAGGCACGCCCCAGTGACCCACCTCCTCCAGCCACACCTGCCGGCCCACAGTTACCACCCAGTTATCCAACTGGGTCAATGCCCTGATGAGGTTAGGGCTCTCCTAATCCAATCATTTCACCCCTAAACTTTCTTGCGTTGTCTCACCCAGGAGCTTTTGGAGGACACCTTGCATCTAAACCATAGCAATATCTAAAAAATGAATTATTTCTTACAAATGTACTTCTTCTATGGATACCTGTGGGATCACTGGCTCAGTATCTCATTCTAGGAATAGAAAAAGAACCCATGCATGACACCCCCTGCACCCACACAACTCACTCGGTGGCAACAGAAGCCACCATATGTCACATCACCCTCACTTCCTGGTTTCCTCTGACTGGTCCAGAGAGGAGCATGGGATTCAGGCCCAGCCAATCAGGGTCCTTCCCTGGGAAATGCTCTTTGGGGATTTGGGTGGTAGCATATAGTCCTTGCAAGGGGTGGATGGCCTTGAGAGCCCAAGGCAGCCAGTCTTTCTAGAAAGAAAAGAACGTGGCAAAGGTACGGAGAGGGGAGGTGTTGAGTCCAGTCTCCTGGGTTCCCTTGGCTGGTCGTGGGCTGCCCTTGTAGCCTTCTCCCGGGACCCCGTGTCTGAGGCTAGTCCAGGTGGCATTTCAATCCCGCGAGACCACGCACAGCACTGGCCCCCACTCACCATGCGTCAGCACCCTCAGGTGTTGGCACTAGGGACAAGATCAGCTCAGAGGCCCCAGAAGTGCGCATTCCAGCCGATCACACCTCCTGTCCCCAATGCCTGCGCACTCTGTCTTGATGGCCACCACCCCGTGAGGAGGGACGGGGAAGGGACTGAGTTTCAACAGACCAGCCTCACCCCACCCCACGGCTGAGACTGTGGACTAGTTTCCACCCAAAGGCCTGGGTTCCTCCCCCCTGTCTCCCACCTTCTGGACGCTTCAGAGAGACGGGTGATCTTTCCCACATCTCGTCTTTGGCTCCGCAACTCTTTGGGTGGCGCTGCCTCTCCTGTTGACGCCGCCTCTCCTGTTGACGCCTACACTGTGCCAAATCCTGTGCCAGATTCCAGGATCAGAAAGAGTCGGTAGGTGCTGACTCACCGACCTCCGGCAGGGCCCAAGGGCATCAGGGAGAGGAGCCCACTTCTCACTAGCTGCACGGTCCCCTCCCAGACCTGGCTCAGTAATTGGAAGTGCAGAGGTCACACTCCCCGGGGTCACAGGAGGAGCTCCCTCTCTTGACCCTGCTCCGGTGCCTGGCCTCCCCCGACCCAGGCCCTGACCGTGAACTGGAATTGAAACATCCATCCTCTGCCCCAGTTGCAAGCTAAACCTCGGCCAGGACGGGTAGGAGCGTCCAGCCAGCTGGATTCTTCGTCCAGCAGATCATGGATCATCTTGGTCCATGACAGTGATGGGGACTTCCAGGACCATGTGGCCTGCCTTGTGAGATCTACGAGGACAGCTTGCCATCTTGTCTACCCTTGCTTGTGGCTTCACCCACAGAGTGTCACTGTCAAGCCCTGGGCCCTCGTGGATCCTGCACTGAAGCTGGGAAACAGGACACAAACAAATGTGCAGACAAGACCCTGGCATTACCCCTGGGGCTGATTGTCCACACAACCAGGAACCTCCAAAGAGCTGCCGCAGGGCATAGGGAGAACGAGTGGTCAGGGTGGGCTTCCTGGAGGCAGTGACAGATCCTGAGATCCAACCAGCAGTCCTTGTGGCCATCTGTGAAAAGAGCCTCACAGACCGGAGGAGTGGCCAGTGCACAGGCCTGCGGCGAGGGGCAGCTGAGTCTGAGCAGGCACCTGGCTGGGGTGAGGGTGCCAAAGGCGGCTTGGGAGACAATGCTGGAGAGAGGCAGGGGAGGGGCCGGGTGACAGTGGTCCCAGAGCCAAGGTAGGGGTTTGGCTTCATCCGATGGGGAGGAGCTGTGGGGAGCAGGTGGGCCCAGCCCCCTAGGGACTCCATGATGAATAGAACAGCGGTTTCCAGGCTGTGCCTGACCCCAGCTACTCCACGTGACAAAGCAGCCCTTTGCCATGGGTGCTCCTCGCTGGTACAGTGCTGAGGCTGAAGGACTCCACGCCTTGTCTGCAGAAGTCGACCACCACCCTCTGCCGAGCCACCACCAGGCACAAGCTGATCCATTAACTGTGCCCGTCAAAGTGAAGTCAGAAGCACACGGATGATGGGCACTTCGACCCCAGGGCAGAAAACCAGGCCCATGAGCTTATCCAGCTGCCCAGACCTCCAAATGAACAGCCCCTCACTGAGGCCCAACCTGGAGCCCCCAAGATGGGTTGGTGCAGCCCACCAGGCCATCAGACATCTGAGGGACAAGGGAAGAGCCTCAGGCTCTGTTCTGGGGCTCAGTCTCCCTCTGGACGGGCTCACTGGGAACTGCCTGGCTCCCGCACCCTGCCTGGGGTGCTCTGTGCTCTGACAGCTCAGGGTCCTGGGCGAGTTCTCTGGCTGGTCCTGGTTCTTAATCTTACCTGACCACCCAAGGACCCTCAGGCTTTGCTCTCAGTGCAGCCTCCTGAAGCCCTGTGGCCACCTTGACCCTTTCTGTAAAAATACGATCTATGTAACCTTATGCATGCAATCATATGTCACCTGGTAAAGGGTGACGTGTGACTCAAGTGTCATGGATATTAGTAATCAAGATTGGAATAAAAGAGCCTGCAGTGGACCGGATGTGACCATGAGAACTGGTGAATTTCTCTGGGGACAGCGCTGTCACTTGTGAATTTACTGTTATTCAATAAACTTCGACACGGTGGAAAGACACGGGTGTGTTTGGTCGTGTTGCTGGTGTGGCTCGCTCACAACAGAGTGGGGGAGGTTCAAGCAGAGACAGTGGCCATGGGAAGACAGGAGGGAAGGTCCCCAGGGGAGACAGTGAGGCCTTGGCACAACTGTCCAGGGGACAGATGGTGGCTCCAATGGTGGTGGCACGGGGATGAGTGGCCCACGGAGGACGCTTTGAGAGGGTGAATCAGCAGCCTCCCAGATGGGTGAGGAAGGCAGGGAGCAGGGGCCACCGGCTCTTCTCCCCCATTGTCCTCTGCAAGAGAAAGCAAAGCCGGACAGAGGCAGGCAGAGCCCCAGCCCACCGTGGGTCAGGTCCCTGCCTGGCCTGCACAATCCCAGAGGGTCCTTGGCCTCACAAAGGCTCAGCGTCCTCTCCTGAGGATGCCAGCATCTGCTGACAGGTCACACAAGGTCACCTGTGCAGACACGTCCCAGATGCCTGTGCACTAGTCATTTTAAATGATGACCAAGCCAGGCACGGTGGCACACGCCTATAATCCCAGCAGCGGGAGCGGCTCAGACAGCAGGATCACATCAGCTAAACCAGCCTCTGCAACTCGGCGAGGCCCTAAGCAACTCAGCGAGGGCCTGTCTCCAACCAAAACATTTTAAAGAGAAGGGAACCGGCTGAAAATGTGGCTCAGTGGTTACCACCTGTGGGTTCAATCTTCAGTACCAAAAAAAAAAGAAGACAAGACGGAACATGGCTTTGTATGCACCTACAGACTCCGGGCAGCAGGGGGGTTCCAGAAGCTGCCAGCAGGGGGGTGGGGGGTGGGGGACTGTGGCCTGGGTCTGTAAGTGCAGGACTCTCCCCCAAGCCTGGGCCCTGTGGTCATGGGCCAGGAGCGGGCCTAGGCCCGGCTGGGGGAGGTGTGGTGGGCTCAGAGCTGTCACCAGCACTGTCCCACCCAGCCCCTCGCTCCCACGTTCCCCCAGCGCCCTATGAAGGGTGCGGGGCTGGAGCAGAGAACGGGACCCACAAGCCCTGCCTCTCCAGGGGCAGGTCAGAGGCACTGAGAGGCTCTGCCAGCCGGAGGACACTGCTGCCCAGAGCGCACGGGCCTGGCAGGGGAGGGGAGAGGACAGAAGAAGCTGCGGAGGTCACTCTGGGTTTCACTCTGAAAGGGAGCCTCCCCTCCTAGGCCAGGTGGCTGAGAGCGTCTGTGCCTAGTGTCCAAAGTGTCCCCGAAGTCCCCACCGGCCTGAGCATTCATAAGACTCACCGCAGTGGGCCTGTGAACAGAGTGCGCGTGGGAATGTGGGGCAGAGAGGGTGTGCAGACAGGTGTGTTCACGTGTGCGTGGGTGTGTTCAGGACTGGGAGAGAGGAGCTGGCCAGCCCTGGCCGGAGACTCAGGCCAGGGGCTTCCAGAAGAGACGGCCTTGCGGTCACCGGCGCCCGGCCCCCAGGAGCCTCTGCTGTCACATGATGTCAATGCCGTCACTGTGAGCCACCGGAAATGGTTCTGAACACAGGAAGAAGCGTCAGGAACAAGGCAGAGAAGCCTCCTGTCCCCCAGACCCCGAGACCACGCCTGGCTCTCCCTTCCCTGCGCGCCCCCTCCCTCCTGCCCAAGAGCCACTTGAAATAACCTGAGCCATGGTCAGCATCGGCCCAAGCTTTCTAAGATCAAGGACACCCCGATCCACCTGTGCAAAGGACCGGTGGCCTCCCAAAAGGTCTGTCCACACTCTCATCACAGAGCCTGAGCCTGTCACTTTGATCGGGAAGAGTCTTTGCAGATGTGACCAAGAGCCTCAAGGTAAAATTGTCCTGGACTAATGGGTGGGGGGCTCCGATGGCGAGTGTCCTGAGGAGAGACAGACACCAGGAGACCAGCGGAGACTGGAACCGTCCTGCCGCGGCCTGAGGGCCTGGACACCCACGGTGGCTGGAGAACAGGAAGGGCCTTCTCCCTGCAGAGGCGTCCACCCACTGCGGTTTCAGGCCCCTGTCCATGGCAGTGTGTTCTCCCGTCCCCCGGAGCTCACGCCTGCAGGTTTCTCAAAAGATCTGTGTGGTCATTCTTCCCCAGAGACCCACCCAGGCCGCTCGGCCCTGCAGCCCAGGGACTTGTGTAGGGTGGCCACAGCCGGGTGATATCAAGACTCTCAGGGTGGCCAAGGGGTCCTGGCTCTGTCCAGAGGCAGCAGAAACCACTGACACTTGGGTGGCCTGATGTACAAAAGCACAGGTCCCCACCCTTGGGAACGTGTTCTGGGTGTTAGACCAGCCTGGGCCCCTAAGGAGCGCAGGACAGGGGGCAGGTCAGGCTGCACAACCCAAGCACCGTGGCCCCTGACCATCACAGGAGGCCCCTGGCCTGTGGCAATGCCACGCTGGCCTGGGTCCTCCTGTCCGACCCCCTTGCATTGGGAGGAAACCAGGTTTGAGGGTGAGGGGACTTCGGGCAGGGCTGCCCAAGGCCCCCTGTGCAAACGCCCCCCAGGCTGTGCAAAGTCTGGGTCCTGTTTGCACCTCACCGTGGTCTGAGAAGCCCCGCCTCAGGCCTTGGCAATGTTCAGTGTGTCTCTGGGCCAACCCCAGCGGCACTGGGACACTGGGACACTGGGACAATCCTGTGGCTCCAGGGAGGGGCTCTTTCTTCCTTCTTTTATTTGTTTTGTTTTTAATTTGAATAACAAAGGGACATAAAGGCTTCAGGGAACTGTGGGAAGTTCTTCTTCTGTAGCCTGAAGAACAGTGGCCAGGCCCGGGGCTGGGGGGCTCTGGTGTTAGAGAGGGAACCTGCTTTGTTGCTGGCACCTCCCCCAAAGCAGGAGTGGCAAGGCCAGGGTACATCTCCCCAGGATGCCCCCAGCCAGCACCCGAGGGCAAGCAACGGCGCCATAGGTATGCTGAGTGCAGACAGATCCTGCTCACCTCTGAGGTGAAACCCCATTACTCAGGGGCCCGTCCTGGGGGACAGCATGTGGTGGTCCCAACAGAAAGAACTGAAAGAAAGGCATGTGTTTATTGAGCACCTACTGTAGGCACCCTACACTGGTACCTTCCTGGAAAGTCTACCTGGTGCTCTCAGTCGTAAATAACAGTGACTTCCACCCTGATCCGAGTAAAGCAGCAGGGAACGATTCGTAAACAGCACACAGATCCAAAACTCCTGCCGGGAAGCCACCCGTTGGTACACTCAGCCCCTGTGGTTTGTATGCACTGGGCTGACTCACAGGTTGCTGCTGATTTTCTTCTGGAATTAAGTCAGATTTTTATTTCTCCTACTTGGCACCAGGTAAGATAAATCCAGGTAGGCTAGGAATTCAATGAGGAGACTTTTAAGCCATAAGGAAACAAATTTCTACTAGAGATGCTTTAAATAATACAAATCTTTACAGTTTTGCATTGTGAGTCCTAAGAAAGGCATCAGTGCCAGGTGGATCATGGAGGGACTCGGGAGGCCCAGGATCTTTCTACTCTCCATGTGTCAACTTTGACCCTAGGTTTTTTTTCTCCTCGTGGCACAATAGAGCTGCACTGGTTCCACCTATCACCTTCTCACCAGCTGCATGCAGGAAAAGTTTCCATCTAGAATGTCTTCTTTAAACTAAAGAAACTCTCCCCAAATTCCTGTAGTGGAGGTGACCTTCAGGGCTCATGGGCCAGAACCTAGCCCATGCAACTTCCCAACAACCCTTAGAAAGACCAATGTAGTACACCCAATCGCTAAGGCCAGGGGTTAGCCAACCATGGCTGGGGGCCGAGTCCACCCTCCACCTGTATTTTGTGAACAGCCACACACTTCGCCCCAACGGTGTCCGTGGCCCAAAACGCTGACTAGATGCTCCTTTGCAGAAAGTTGGCTGAGACTGGGTTCGACTCACACACGATGGTGCCCAGTTTGGGGACGCCCTCCCCGAGCACCTGGTCTTGTCCATCAAGAAAACAGGGAGGGGTAGGGCTGCGGCTCAAATGGTAGTGCGCTGGCCTGGCATGTTCGAGGCACTGGGTTCGATCCTCAGCACCCCACATAAAAATAAATAGATATTGTGTCCACCTAAAACAAAAACCAAAATTATAAAAAAAAAAAAGAAACAAGAATTAACTGATGATCTGAACATATAAACTTGCAAAGGGATGACTCCGTATAGTTCTTGAACAGACTATTTAGTTTTCCGTACTAAAAGCCAATAAGCCATTTAAAAACAAGAAAACAGGGAGGAGGGACGGAACAGGCAGAGCCATGGTGCCGGTGAAACCCTCACACTGGCTCCCTCAGCGCCCGGCGCACTCCGTCCCTGATGCAGCTGCATTTTGCTGCAATAGTGAGGACGCAGCCGGCCACAGACCTGAAGCATGGGGCACTAAGTGGCCGGTCCTCCCCGAGCCGTCTGAGGGACCTCGTGCTGTTAGACTCACCCTGCAAGGGAGGCTGCGGACGGGATTTGTGGTTTGCTAATTAGAATCAAAGCCCTGCTCCCGTTCTCACAAAAGGCGAATTCCGCAGATGAGAACGGGTTTTAGGAGCTTTGTTAAAATTCGAAAGAGCTTTCAGTAACCACGCAAGGGACCTTGTGCAACCCGGGTGTGGGTGGCGGGCTCCGCGGGACGGCGGGAAGTCTTCCTTGAGATGTCTAGGAGCGGGCCACCTACTCTGGGACCTTTGCTGTGGGTTGTACGTCAAGGCAGGGGACTGGATGGGAAGGACTGCCAAAGACTCCCATGGTGTCCAGCATAGAGGCTGGGTGCCCACCACGTGCCTCCAAGGACCTCTCTCAAGGTCGTGGCCACCAGTACTGCAGAAGGAAATATCTGCAGAACAAAACACTTTTGTTAAAGCCTTTCTTTCTTACTTTTAAAAAAAAAAAAACAATCAAGAACATGTGTTGGCCAATCTGGGTTTCTGCTGGGACCAGCGACCCAGGGGCACGTGGGCCTTGGGAAGGGGCGGTGGGTGGCACAGACCTGGACTTGCTCCCTGGTTCTCTGCTTTGTCTGGGGCAGGAGGCTCCGACTCTCCAAGACAGTGTCCTCCTCTGTAAAATGGAATCACCGCGGTGCCTCCCTCCCGGACTGCTGGGCCTTAATGAGAACAATTAAGATCAAAGGTGGTTCTGACCAAAGGTCCAGCGTGGCCTGGCACACGGTGCCTGCCCAGCAGACCTTGATCCCTCTTCCAGAAGAGGCCAAAACTCAGGGAAAATTAACTGTACGAGGCCACACAGCCAGGAAGTGGCAGAGCCGGGTCTGGAACAACACTGGACAGTGGGCTGCCCAATCCAGAGCTGGGGACACTGAGCTGGTCCTCACTGGGAGGCTACCTATTCCCATGACAGCACCCACCATAGCTGAGAGGTGCACGGGCCTGAGGTCACCCCAAGGACGGAGCCTGGGAGGATTCCCCTCGCCAGCCAGGTGAGCAGCAGGTAGCCCTGTAGAAGCAGGCGCCTATCCCCCAAGCAGCCAGCAGAGGGCAGCAGCCACTTGCAAGGGACAAGCCTTGGGCTGGCCACTCTCAAAGGAGCCTCCTGTACCTGGGGTCCCTGGAGTGTGTCCTGACCCTCCTGACCCTGCAGGGATGCTTGAACCAGGCAATGCGGCATGGCCACGTCCCCGAGCAAGAGTGGGCATCACAGCTCACTCCCAGCTCGAGGGGCCAGAGGAGATGATTCACCCAGAAGCTGTAGACAGTGCCCCAACTGTCCACGTCCTGGTCCCCAGAACCCGTGGGCATCTGAGTTACACAGCCACAGGGACCTCACAGAAGTGGCTACCCAAGATGACCTGGGTGGTCCCAGTGAGCCCCTGGTGTGTCCCCGCTCCCCGATGCCCCTTGGCAGGGGGGAACTGAGGCTGGACGGGGCGTGCTGACCAGCAGGCAGCAGAGCTGGGGTCACATCCCAGCAGTCCAGCTCCAGAGCCCAGGTCTCCTGTCACAAATTGCCACACCCTGGTGGCTTCCAACAGTCCACGCCTGTGCTCCTGGCCTGGAGGTGAAGTTCAACCCTCGCGGGTCCCTGCTGGCCCCGACTTCCCACTGTCTGGAGGTCTCTGTGGCCCCTTCTCCTCCGTCCCTCGCATCTCCGTCTCTCCAGGGTCCCCCTCCCTCCCTCAGCTGGGCCACCCCTTCCCCTTCCCTGCGTCACGGTCTCTGCAGCTCTGCCCCGGGTGTGCGGCTCTTGCTCTCCCGCCCTGTCTCCTCGTGTCCCACTGTGCCTTTCTGCCTCTGTCTCTGTCTCTCTATGTCTGTCGTCTCCTTCTGTTCTCTGCCTCCCTCAATCTCACTCTCTCTCTCTCTCTCTCTCCATCTCTATCTCTGTGTCTCCTTCTGTGTCTCCCTGTGCCTCTGTCTCTGTGTCTCTGACTCCTTCTATTTTTTTCCTCTCTCCCTCTCTCCCCCTTCTCCTCCTCCCTCTCCCCCCTCCCTCTCCCCCTCCCCTTCCCCCTTCTCCCTCTCCCCCCTCCCCCCTTATTATCTCTCTGTGTCTCCCTGTGGCCCCGAGTCCCCCATCATGGCACCTCCCCAGGGATTTCCATCCACCCCCCCACTGGCCTCCTCGCAGGGTCTCCCTGGGTCTCTCCGTGCACGTGGCCGGCCCCCCAGCCCCATCCTGTGTCGTCCTGGGGAGGGACAGACCCCAGGGCCCCACCCAGGGCCTACGTGGTGGGTGTTGAGGTGTCCTGGGCCTCCTCGGATGTGGGCCAGTTCTTGGTGGAGGACGAGGGGCCCATGGTGTCCCCAGAGCCCTGGCTGGAGTCGCCCAACTTGGGGCACAGCTCTGGAGCCCCTCCACCCAGCCGCCCTGCCGGCCCCTCAGTTCCCGCTGGGCCCCCCATCTTGACTCCGTGCCCCCCCTGGAAGCCTCTGTCCCCTCCAGGGGGGATGTGGTGGGAAGGGAAGTCCTGCAACCGAGGGCTGTAAAGTTGTGCCCTGGAATTTGCCGGAAGCCCCCATAAAATCCTTCCCATCCACAGATTGGGTTTCACGAGCCACTCGCTGGGCGACTGCAGAGAGCAACGCTGGGATCAAAGCGGCAGCCCCCGCGCCCTCCATCCTGGCGGGTGGTCAGGAGCGGGCGACCAGGCTGAGCGCGGGGCTGTCCCCGGGGGAGGAGGAGCCTCTGTGCAGCAGCCTCGAGCCTCGGCCCTGAGACACCAGCCTGGGCCAGCACCTGCCCCGCGGGGACCCCCCGCCTCGCCAGACCCCATGGCCACCCCGGCTCCGGCGACAAGCCCTGAGCAGCCACGTGCTGCCGGCTTCTCCCGCTGCCCCGACTGGTGCAGGACGCTGGGCGTCCGACCTCAGCTTCCTCAGATGTGCCATGGGAGGCAACGTCTTGTAAGACAATCAGTGTCGTCCAGATACAGAGCCTCTGGTCACCCTCCAGCCTTCAGAGCTCCTCCGCCCTGGCCTCGGCTCACTGTCCCCACCTGTCTGCATGACAGCTTCCATCTTCCAGTCCTTGCTGGCATGCTGCCTCCTCCCAGAAGCCCTCCCTGCCTGCTCTGCAAAGCAGCACTGCCCTGTTCTATCCCCCTGTTCAAGCCCGTCGCGGCCCCGGGCACTGTCCCTGCATGGATGGAGGGGGTCTTAGACCTGCTAGGCAGATCCACGGACCTGGGTGTGGCTGGCTTCTCAGCCTTTCTTATTACACCCACAGAGGCTTTGCAGACCCTCCTCCTGCTCAGCCCCGGAGGTCTGGAAGCAGCTGGGGGCTGCATGTGCTGACCAGGGCCTGAGACCTGCGTCCCCCTCAGCATCAGACTGCTTCACACACAGCACCAGGAGACTCCGTCGGCCTCCCAGCCCTGCCCCTGTTGTCCCCTGTGTGCCCGGCCCGTGACACTTAGGTGCCCAGGTCAGAGCTTGTCCAACAAAGAGTCTGGGCTGACCCTGAGTTGGCCTGGGGCAGGGCTCTGAACAGGACCCATGACCGGCACCAACTGTCCCCTCTGGGAAGCCTGCTGTAGGTGCGCTCAGCCTCCCCTCACCCCCGGGCTGCGGTGCCTCCCGGTGCTCTCCGGTCCCCTCCCGCCGTCCCCTCCTCCCACACCAGCTGCTTCCCGGAGGCCACTGCGGCTGCCTTGAGCCCAGGCACAGACGCGGGTCTGAATGGTGCAGCCTGCACCTCCCGCCTACAGGTGAGTGAGCCCTGGGCCGGGCGCTGCACACATGAAGTCCCTGGCTGGTGTGTCCCCCCTCAAGACCAACTTTACAAAGAGACAAAGCTCAGCCCCTCTCCCTCCTGAACTCAGAGCTGGTGGCTTCCAGGCCAAGTCCCGAGACAAGGCCAGACACCTCCTTCCCGTCACATGGAGCTAGTGGGCATCAGGACTCCCGGTGAAATTTAAATTTCAGATAAGTGACACAGTTTTAGCGTCGCTAGGTCCCAAATATTGTATGGGATATACTTATATTAACAAGTAAAAGCACGTCTAACTGGGACTCGTATACTTCATTTGCTAAACGGGCAGGACTGGCTGCAGAGGTATTGAGAAAATCAGCAGCCACTGTGACGCAGTCACAGCAGGGCTTAGAGCAGCTCAATTCACAATAGCCAGGCTGTGGGACCGACCTAGTGTCCTTCAGCAGATGAGCGGATGAAGAAAATGTGGTTCACGTTCACAAGGAATATCACTCAGCCATGAAGAGGAATGAAATCATGGCATTTGCTGGTAAATGGGCGGAACTGGAGACTATCATGCTGAGTGAAATAAGCCAATCCCAAACCCAAAGGCCCAGTGTTCTCCCGGCTGCGTGGCTGCTGACTCACACTAGGGGTGGTGGAGGGAAGGATGGAACTTCGTTGGATTAGACAAAGGGGAGTAGAGGGCAGGGAGGGGGATGGGAAGGGGGGAGACGGCAGAATGAATCGGGCACCACTTTCCTCTGTCACATGTGAACACGCCACAGGGAATCTCCACGTCACGTACGACCACGAGGGTGGAATCCTAGTTAGAATAAGTTGTACCCCGTGGATGCAGGACATGTCAAAGTGCACTCTACTGTCACATGTATCTGAAAGGGACACATTTTTAAAAGTCACCGAGAACCTCAAGCTGGTAAAAGAGATTTTGGACCAGGCACGGGCCCTTCTGACCCTATGTGACTGCCCGTGCCCTCTCCACACCTGTGACACTGGCACCCCTCCTGCCAAAGGAGTCCATGACCTTGCACAGCCATGCTGTCGGGCGGGCAGGGGACGTGGCATCTGTACAGGTGACATGGCACCAATGATCTCTTGGGAGCCCCAGAGGAGGAGGGAGCTTGAGGAAGGCCCTGCCTGCTCAGGGCCCACGAGCCTGGGCAGACGGCCACGTGGTTGTCACCTCTGTGTGCTTCCTGTCACAGCCGCCTCAGACCCTCTCAATAATGACAAATCCTAAAGCAGCCTGTAGGGGGTGGACCCAGGGCTTCCCCAGTTCCCGCACTGAGTGGGTCCTCTCTGAGCCAAGGCTGAGCCACAGCCTGCTGGACCCTGGCCATGCTGGACACGGGCATCAGGACGTCAGGAAAGCACCGAGCTGGACACACACTGTGTGACAGTGTCCTCCCCTGCCCGTCCCAAGTGGCTGGCGAGCCGGCACCGGCCAAGCTGTCTCCATGCCCCCTGGTTGGCCCCAGCCCAGGGTCAAGGGACTGTGGTCAGGTCCAAATGCTGGCGTTGGGTTAGCACTTGAGGTGACCCTCTGCGCAAGGCTCGGGCGTGCGGAGAACACGACAAAAGAGCACACTTAACCCTGCTCAGGGCTTGGGGGAAGCGTCTCCAGAAGTACACAGACGGCCAGCAGCCCTGAAGAGCTGGACCCCCCTAGTCAGAGCCACCCACCTCGAGGGCTCGTCAGAGCACAGAGTCACCAGGGGCCGGGAGGGGCGGAGAGGGCCGGTTTTGTTTGTGAGCTCCTCCTCCAGCTTTAAACAGTGACACTGCGGAAATGCTTCTGAGTCTTCGTTTCAGGCCCCAAACCCCAGACTGTGGCCTCCTGCGTTCAGCTGAGCTCCTGGGGCCTCCTGGGAAGTCACCAGTTGGGGACAGGGAGGGGGTGTTGGGCTTTCCAGCTTTAACATGTGCAGGTGCCTCACCCAGAGCCAGAGACCAGGGGCTGCCCCATCCCCCGAGGTGCCCAGGTTTCTTCCTGGGCGTGGAAACCCCCATTCAGAGAATACAGACAGAGTGCGCCCTCCTGGCCAAAGAATCCCCATGACGGTTCCCTTGGACTAACGGCCTGTCCAGTGGTTCATGTTTTGAACAGTTTTTTAAAAAATAGTCTACAGCGTGCTGCTCTCTGGTTGACACTGCTCGTTGGGGACAATCCTTTAGACCCTGAAGCTTCGTCTCGGAGTCATAAAACTGTAGACGAAGAAACCTGAATGAATCGGGGTGAAAACAGTGAGATTCTTTCTCCTGCTCCGTGGAGCACGGGAGCCCACGAAGCGCAGCCAAACACCAGGCGCCGCGGAGGACGTCAGGGTGGACAGTAACATCGGGGTTGATGGCACGGGCCCAGGACGGAGCACTGGGCTCAGAGCGTCAGCAGCAAGATCCCCGTTATGCCACTGGGACCCGAGGACCGAGATCCTGACAGCTTGGCATGGACACTGGCCAGATGGGTTCAGGTCCCCACTCCCGCAGCCCCGGCCAGGCACCTCGCCTCTGGCTGCTGGTGAGACCTGGGGAAAGTCGCTTGGCCTCTCTGTGGCTCTCTCATCTATAAAATGGACATTTCACCCTCAGAAACTCCCTGGATTGTGGCTTTTCTTTGTCCCTGGGTCTGCTGCCTTGAAGACACCCTTATCGCCCCGTGATCACAACTCATCTTACTTTCTGTCATCAAAAACCGCTTGGCGAGTCAGGTGGCTCTGGATGGGACACCAGGATGGGTACACAGAGCTGAGCACCTTCTCCCCTGTTCTCCTCCCGCCAATCCAACCCCCAGTCCTCTCCACGTCCACTCTCAGGGCTGGGAAGACCAAGTCGTCCCCTTTCCAGACCCGTCTGCAGCCACACCCCACGATTCTAGTCAACAAAACGCCAGGGGAAGTCTGCTGGAGCCGGGGACAGGTTCCCACTCCAGGCTAACAGGGACAGATGTCATTGACATCTACATTCTTCCTTTTCCCAGCTTTCTCCACTGATTTGATGACTCGTGCTGTTGCAGCCATTTTGTGACCTGGGCACCCCAGGGCAGAGGAGCGGGACCGGCCAGCCCGGCCAGAGACAGGTGGACAGCAGCTTCTCCCAGGAAATGGGTCCTTGGTCACAGGAGGCAGGAGGCAGACCCCGGAACCTGAGAGAGCGGGACCTCTGCCCCGGCCACGGCCAGCAGGCAGGAGAGAGCCACAGCCAGGTGTCATTTCAAACTGAGACCTCACTCGCCCCCCAAGGCGTTCGCCCCGCGTGCGATTCCAGGAGCTTTGGCGTGGCCTGGACACTAGTGACCATCACCAGGGTCTGTTTCCAGGCTGTCTGCAGCCACCTCCAAGGAACACAACCCAAAGGCACTGGCTGTCACCCCGATCCCCTCCCGGGGACTGGTGCAGTGTGGCCTCAGGAACAGGGGTCTCGTGTTCCTGCACACAACAGGTTCCCACAGCGCCATCCAAGGACGAGAGTAACTTAGAGGACCCCACCCCGACGGACAGGTTCCCTGTGCCGATGGCATTGGCCTCTGGCCTCCACGGCCTCTGGGCCCCTGCCCAGCTGACCTGGCCAAGGGCTCAGGGAGGCTCTCCGAGGTTGTTCAGGGCTGGAAGCCGAGAGGGCTGAGCTTCTGTTCTGTAAGGCAGGGTGGCGGCCCAATCCCCTCAAGATGAGGGCTGAAAGAAGCCAGGCCTGGTGACATGGTGCTGAGCCACCTGGAGGCCAGGAGGCGGGCGGCGAGCAGCCAGGGAGGCCCTCCTCGATGAAGCAGGGAGGCTCTTTGCCATGAGCTGTGGCCATGTTCTCTGCCTGTCTGGCCTGGATACTGGTAACATTTGAAAGGGCAGCTGCTCCCTCTGCCTGGGCCTCTGAATGACCGGGGTAGCACTAGCCCTCGGGCGCCATGCACACCCCAGACCATCAGGAGGGAGACGGGCCTGGGTGGGCCTGGTCTAATCAGGGTGCCTGGAATGGAGTGAGGTTCGAGCCCACACACACGGCGGTTGGAAGCGAGCGCTCTTTCTGCTGCCTGTTGGAGTAGGTGCCGCATGGCAAGGGAGGAGGATGGTCACGGGGGTGGAGGCCCAGCCGGGAGGCCCAGGGCAGAAACCCAGGTGAAACCCTGCCACCTGCCACCTCCGGACTGAGAGAGGACAAAAGGCCAGTCTAGCATGAGGTGGGCAGCGTCTGTCCTGCGGCACTGGACACTACGACCAAAGGGGATTCGTCATGCAGTGGAGCCTGGGAGGCCGGTGGCCACGCTTCCCACGGCCCCAGTCCCGCTCCCCTGGTGGGGGGGCTCTGGCCCCTTGTCTCTTCTGCCCCCGCCGCTCAGGCTCCCGTGGATACAATGACCATGACCGGCTCTCCTGGGGACGCGGCCCTCGAGTGCAGGCGGCCAGCGGGGCTGGACACACCAGGCGGGTTGGCACGAGGGTGCCCGCTCCCTGCCAGGGCGGCTCAATGAGGCCTTTCAGTCGGGCACAATGCTCTCCCTCTGCGCATCGGCTGCCAACAGGGAGCCCTTTGTTGGGAGGAGAGTGAGGCCATCGCTGGGCCAGGAGAGGAGGCCGCGACGCCAGGATCGCGCCTGTCCATCTGGGATTACCCGAAACACAACTTCCTCTCACCTGTTGGCAAATAGGGACACACATCACACCAACGCTCCCAACCCCGTCCGCTTTGTGATGGCGTCCTCGGAGTCACGTTTCCCGGGCAGGTGACCCTCCGAGATACGCAGGGACATGTGTAGAAATGGCACCGGGACGGCCTGTTCTCAGGGGTCAGCTTTCAGTGCTGTTGGAAGAAAGGAAAACGAATCCTCCAGATACGGTCGGGGCCACCCCTTCCCCGGGGGCAAGGCCGCCAGGAGGGAGAGGAGGGTGGGCAGCTCCCCGGGGCTCTCAGGGCCTTCCTTTGGCACCCTGCCGCAGGGCCTTTGCCTGGCCCTCCCTCTGCCCGGATTCGGTTCCCCAGACACCCACCTGACTGACTCTATTTTTTCTCCTAGCTGGTGCTCAAAATGTCAGCCGCTCAGAGAGGCCCCCGACACCTCGTTTCTGCTCTCCATCTGAGCTTCATCTCAGTCGGTCTTCAAGTCTCCCTCCCATCTTGGGAGCTGCAGCTCCATCTTGGGTCTGCACCGCCTCGGGCCCCGATGGAGGATCCTGGCCAGCCCAGACGCCTGCAGCACACCCAGCCACAGTCCTGCCTTCCCTGCCCTCC